TATACCTGCATTTGGGTGAGGTGATATGTTACAACAGTTTTGGATGAGCTGAAAACAAACTTTCAACACAAGACAGAACACGAAACAATGGGTATAATATTTTGTAAGTTAAATTGAAGAATGGAAGTAACTGCAGAGGGCCTATTGGCCCATATTTCTAGATGCTTCTATATTAGTGCGGAGTCTTGAAGTGGGTAGAATATAGTTGTGGATTAATTGGCTGTTGATTGCTGGTGTCGACTTGTTAATGTGTAGTGCCTCGCAGATATCAAGCTGCCTGCTATCGCTGTATCTATCGATGATTTCCGTGTTTTTTGTTAGGACTTCTCTGGTGATGGTCTGGTTGTGGGAAGAGATTATATGTTCCTTAATGGAGCCCTGTTGCTTATGCATCGTTCATCGCCTGGAAAGAGATGTTGCTGTCTTGCCTATATACTGAATTCTTTGAGGCTTTCAGTCCCCAAGTGGGCATTTGAAGGCATAGACGACGTTGGTCTCTTTTAAAGCGTTCTGCTTTGTGTCTGGAGAGTTTCTCATGAGTAGGTTGGCCGTTTTCTTGGTTTTATAGTAAATCGTCAATTGTATCTTCTGATTTTTGTCTTTAGGGATAACGTTTCTATTAACAATATCTTTCAGGACCCTTTCTTCCGTTTTATGAGCTGTGGAAAAGAAGTTCCTGTAAAATAGTCTAATAGGGAGTACAGGTGTTGTGTTAGTTGTCTCTTCAGAGGTTGCATGGCGTTTCACCTTCCTTCTTATGATGTCTTTAACGAAACCATTGGAGAAGCCGTTGTTGACTAGGACCTGCCTTACCCTACAGAGTTCTTCATCGACTTGCTTCCATCCTGAGCTGTGGCTCAGGATGATTTTGCTGTTTCCCTGTGGTTGGCCCCCCGCCCCATATATATATATATATATATATATATATATATATATATATATATATATATATATATATATATATATATATATATATATATATATATCTATGCGGAAAATCCACAGAGAAATATGAAAGGAGGTGAACGTTTCGGCTTTGTTAAAGCCTTTGTCAACACCAGACTGACAAAGTCTGGTGTTGACAAAGGCTTTAACAAAGCCGAAACGTTCACCTCCTTTCATATTTCTCTGTGGATTTTCCGCATAAAATGATCAGTGTTTTGTGATCGCCAATTGCATATATATATATATATATATATATATATATATATATATATATATATATATATATATATATATATATATATATATGTCGTACCTAGTAGCCAGAACGCACTTCTCAGCCTACTATGCAAGGCCCGATTTGCCTAATAAGCCTAGTTTTCATGAATTAATGATTTTTCGGCTACCTAACCTATCTAACCTAACCTAACCTAACTTTTTCGGCTACCTAACCTAACCTAACCTATAAAGATAGGTTAGGTTAGGTTAGGTAGGGTTGGTTAGGTTCGGTCATATATCTACGTTAATTTTAACTCCAATAAAAAATATTTACCTCATACATAATGAAATGGGTAGCTTTATCATTTCATAAAAAAAAATTAGAGAAAATACATTAATTCAGGAAAACTTGGCTTATTACGCAAATCGGGCCTTGCATAGTAGGCTGAGAAGTGCGTTCTGGCTACTAGGTACGACATATATATATATATATATATATATATATATATATATATATATATATATATATATATATATATATATATATGTCGTACCTAATAGCCAGAACGCACTTCTCAGCCTACTCTGCAAGGCCCGATTTGCCTAATAAGCCAAGTTTTCATGAATTAATTGTTTTTCGACTACCTAACCTACCTAACCTAACCTAACCTAACTTTTTCGGCTACCTAACCAAACCTAACCTATAAAGATAGGTTAGGTTAGGTTAGGTAGGGTTGGTTAGGTTTGGTCATATATCTACGTTAATTTTAACTCAAATAAAAAAAAATGACCTCATACATTATGAAATGGGTAGCTTTATCATTTCATAAGAAAAAAATTAGAAAAAATATATTAATTCAGGAAAACTTGCCTTATTAGGCAAATCGGGCCTTGAATAGTAGGCCAAAAAGTGAGTTCTGGCTACTAGGTACGACATATATATATATATATATATATATATATATATATATATATATATATATTCTCTAATTTTTTTCTTTTGAAATGACAAAGCTACCCATTTCATTATGTAAGAGGTCAATTTTTTTTATTGGAGTTAAAATTAACGTAGATATATGACCAAACCTAACCAACCCTACCTAACCTAACCTAACCTATCTTTATGGGATAGGTTAGGTTAGGTAGCAGAAAAAGTTTGGTTAGGTTATGTAGGTTAGGTAGTCGAAAAACAATTAATTCATGAAAACTTGGCTTATTAGGCAAATTGGGCCTTGAATAGTAGGCCGAGAAGTGCGTTCTGGCTACTAGGTACGACATATATATATATATATATATATATATATATGTCGTACCTAATAGCCAGAACGCACTTCTCAGCCTACTATTCAAGGCCCGATTTGCCTAATAAGCCAAGTTTTCATGAATTAATGGTTTTTCGTCTACCTAACCTACCTAACCTAACCTAACCTAGCTTTTTTTTGGCTACCTAACCTAACCTTACCTATAAATATAAGTTAGGTTAGGTTAGGTAGGGTTGGTTAGGTTCGGTCATATATCTACGTTAATTTTAACTCCAATAAAAAAAAATTGACCTCATACATAGAGAAAAGGGTTGCTTTATCATTTCATTAGAAAAAAATTATAGTAAATATATTAATTCAGGAAAACTTGGCTTATTAGGCAAATCGGGCCTTGAATAGTAGGCTGAGAAGTGAGTTCTGGCTACTAGGTACGACATATATATATATATATATATATATATATATATATATATATATAAATATATATATATATATAAATATATATATATATAAATATATATATATATATATAATATATATATATAAATATATATATATATATATATATATATATATATATATATATATATATATATATATATATATATATATATATGTAAATGGGGCGGGGGGCCGACCACAGGGAAACAGCAAAATCACTCAAGTACAGGCGACTGGAAGGTTAATACCTCTTTGTTCCCATAGCGTCTGAGACGCATGGCCCCTGGGGCAAGAGTGCCTTGGGATTTCTCAAGGAATTGGGTTCCAAGCTCATTGACGTCACCAGAGACCCAAGGGCTTCCAGTTTTTTGTTTCAGCGCCTCAGTGTGGCGATCCAGAGGGGAAATGCTTGCTGCGTCCTCGGTTCCTGTCCGGAAGTGGAGGAGCTTCAAGAGATCCACAACCTTTAGGCATTTGTCTTGTATGTTTTGTAACCTTGAAATACACAATAAAGCAAAAAAAAAAATAATAATATATATATATATATATGCCCAGACGGAATTACGGTGAACCCCTGGAAGAATGGTAGACAGTTGGTGTGGGACTACACTTGCGTTTCAACTTTGGCCAGTACCTATGTTGACTTCAGTGCTACACAAGCAGGAGGAGCTGCCAATCACCGGGAAGCGGCCAAGTCACGTAAATACAGAGACCTTGAGCACCACTACAATTTTGTCCCCATTGCCTCAGAGACACTTGGTGCCTGGGGTAAAAGTGCTGCTAGCTTTTTAAAGGAGTTGGTGTCTAAGCTAATCGAAACAACTAGAGACCCCAGAGCTGCCAGTTTTCTTTTTCAGCGCCTTAGTGTGGCAATCCAGAGAGGAAATGCTCACTGCATCCATGGTTCCTGCCCGCCATCTGAGGAGCTGGAGGAGCTATTCAACTTGTGACAAGCAGCCTTGTACCCTGCATGTAATCAATATTGTAACTTTTTTTGTGTAATGACATTTTCAAATAAAGTTAGATAAATATACACACTTAACAAAAGAATAGGGGTGGTAGGAGAAGAAAATATCAAAGTGTTCAGTGAGGATCCACAAGGTCTTCTCTGAGTACTCTTTATTTTCTTCTCCGAGGCTATGGGTCCCTACATTTACACCAGAGGTGGTACCCCTTCTAGGTTTATATATATATATATATATATATATATATATATATATATATATATATATATATATATATATATATATATATATATATATATATATAAATATAGCAGATAAATATATATTATATATATTGATAGCAGTCATTCTTGTAAACATATGTAGTTAAAAAAGACCGAAAAGGTAAGATTAATGATTCTAACACGAATCTTTTCCATATTTCTTACGTTTTTCTTCACTGTAGTGGGTAATTGAAAAATTAACTCTCCAAAGTTCATTTTCTCATTTTTATTTATGGTCTAACGCCTAAAAGCGTTTCGCAAAGACTTCTCACATTTTCAAAAACAGTGTTTACACACATCATATCATGCTTAAATATTCGTTTTTGGGTGAGGTGATAAGACACAAATGTTTTTGGGTGAACTAACAAAAGACGGAACACGAAACAAAACGTATATTGCATGTTTGCTGCTTCTATATTGCTCTTGCTGCTTCTATATTGCTCTTGCTGCTTCTATATTGCTCTTGCTGCTTCTATATTGCTCTTGCTGCTTCTATATTGCTCTTGCTGCTTCTATATTGCTCTTGCTGCTTCTATATTGCTCTTGCTGCTTCTATATTGCCCTTGCTGCTTCTATATTGCTCTTGCTGCTTCTATATTGCTCTTGCTGCTTCTATATTGCTCTTGCTGCTTCTATATTGCTCTTGCTGCTTCTATATTGCTCTTGCTGCTTCTATATTGCTCTTGCTGCTTCTATATTGCTCTTGCTGCTTCTATATTGCTCTTGCTGCTTCTATATTGCTCTTGCTGCTTCTATATTGCTCTTGCTGCTTCTATATTGCTCTTGCTGCTTCTATATTGCTCTTGCTGCTTCTATATTGCTCTTGCTGCTTCAGTGTTGTTGCGGGGTCTTGAAGGCACCCTCCCTCCTCCCCTCCTCCAGTTACATCGTAATTATCTAATTTCCAGGTCATTCCGGAAGGTGGACTTAACCTGTGTCGCATGGGTGACCCAGAGACCATTATGGGTGGTGTGGGCGTGGGGGTGGAAACAAGCTTCCCGCCCACAGAGACAGAACTGAAGGTGACGTGTGGGATCGTGGGCGTTGTGTGTGGGCGGGTTTTGTGCACTTTGAGCGGACTTCACCAGGGGCCCAGAGTACTCCTGCAGGCTGAATATAACCTCACCATGCTTATAAGTAAGTCCTCCCTCTGGTGTAGCTCCTCACCACTTTGTAGCTTACTGTTTGATTCCTTCTCATTCATCTATCTGTCAATGGATCTGTCAATCAGTCAATTGAACTACCACTCTGTCAACTGATGTGCAAACCTAACAGCTGCTCTGATCTATATATTTACTAATCTATCAGTCAGTGAACTGATTTAAAAGTATTTTATTTTTATTAATTTATCAACTGAACTGTCCATTCATCCTGACATAAATATATTCATCAATAACTTCACCCAACTTTTAGCTAATACATTGGATCATATATTGATATTTCAGTCATCTTGGGCACTAGGTGCTTCGAACGTGCATCCTCTTACAGGTCAGTCGGCTGTTCTACCGACTGTTCTATGGGTTAGCCTTTAAAGACAAGGATCCCAACCGCAGCCCAGATGGGACTTGCTTTTCTCCGTGGCTGATCCTTTTGTACCTGAGTGGTAGCCAGGGAGATAGGCAAGTCCCATCTGGGCAGCAGTTAGCTACCTTGCATCGAGGGGGGCTGGGGATATTATCCGAAAATAGAGCTGGTTGTGTCACCGGACTGTTACTGGCATACAGGGGAACACACACCCCAACCACTCGCTGTTAGAAAATCAGCCAACCTCGGCAGCCACACTCCCGCTACCGTTGGTCAGCCAGAAATTAATACTGGAGTACTTGCAATTACCTGGAAGATCACCCTGTATGCTTCTTGATCTTGGAGAGGGACTCAACGTCACCTTTATTTAGTGGTGTGGCTTCAAAACTGGCCTCATTGTCTTGAGTACACACCCTACTCGAGCCTCTGTGACTCCCCACTCTCTCCTTGTTTGGGATGAACTCCTAAATCCCCTTTCTGTGAATTGTTGTCCACTGTCACCCTGTCTGCAACCGTGATCCCTGCTCTCTCTCTCTCTCTCTCTCTCTCTCTCTCTCTCTCTCTCTCTCTGTTAACAAACACTTAATACATAAAAATGTACAAAACAAAAGATATATAATATACTATTGCTATACAACACCTTAAGCTTCTACACTCCTAGTAACTAGTAGCACTCCTATATCATATCCTGACTTCATCAATTATCTATCTCAGGCTGCCGCCCGACTCTTGGCACACAACCTACCGCCCCTCCTCACTGCTTGGGGCTGAAATACATGGCACAAAAATAATATATCTTCCACCATAAAAGAATATGAATCTCTGCTTGGGGCTGAAATAGCTGGAACATTTTCATAAGTATCCCCAACAAAAAAGAAATCAATCTCTCACCTTAAACTTCATCTTATATGCCAATAAGCATCAAGCACTTCCCTCGTACATTAATGTGTCCACATGATCCTCTGTTCTCTTCCTTGAGGCTCACTATCAATAACATACATCTGGGTACTCCAAAAATCAGGTAAGGTACTTCTGCAGTCCTTCCAATCTGCTGCACACGAAGTCCTACTCCAACATCGGCGAAGCTTCTTCACCGGCTCCACAAAGAAACGTGTAGCTCCATTACACAGTTTGAAGTTCAACTCCAAACCTGGAGCTCAAATCTGCACCTGGAGTCTAGCACTACCTCAGAGTTCAAAATACACTTCTTCTCCAGCCTCGAAGTTCCTCCATTAACTTCTTCCCACACAAACCTGTAATTCCATTACCATGCCAATAAAATATTTTCTTAACAAAACACAAATAATAAACCTATATCCCAGCACTAAATTTTGCCCTCCGACGCCGTTCCGTCCAACAGTGGTGGATACCCCCCCCCCCACCCAGTCCTGGGCAGGTCCATACTGGAAACATGTCTTTACACAAAGCTGGGGCCTCCCCCACCCCCCAGTCGCAACGCTGGGGTCCTCCACTCCCTCAGTCATCCCTTGACCTCCCGTGACAGAGGATATACCACTCCTCCCTCCAGAATGTTCTCTTATCAGTAACTGCTTATTTTCACTCACTGTTCTAACAAAAATATATATCCTACTTGCATATATACTTGCCATGATCGCTGGGCACACGATCAAGTACAGGAAACCACTAAAACAACTGATAAACGAGCTTTCCGCAGAATTCGTAGCTTGGGGGCACTCCAAAATGGCGTTCTCCAACAAAGTTACTTAATGTCTGCCTCACAGCTCTTCTGCTCCTGACTTGAGCTCACACAGTCGCCTGGCAGGCTCTACACAAAGACACCTGCATATCCTCCTCCACCTGAGGATATCATGATTTAGACCTGAGGAACAACACCAGGTGTCTTGTTACTAACGCTTCGAGAAATATATCCCAGTGTCCTATTTGTCTTATTACGAGCATTTATGCATTAATTTTTTGGGTTTAAATTCTTACTCATAACCCCCAGAAATATGTAACATGCACTATATATGAATGGTTTCGTATTTAGTTTCTTGCTGATATTTTGAACACCTTTTAAATATCTCCGTTATACAATTTTATTAATTTAAGAACATAAGAATTAGGGAAACTGCAGAAGGGCTTTTGCCACATACATAGTAGCTCCTATTTATAAATTTGAACAATCATGCATCGATTTATGGCCATTAAATTCTTACTAATCATAACACTTTCGCAATCCGACTTTGCAATCTCAACATCATCTAGTTCGTTCTTGTAACTCTATCCTCATTACCTAACCTCAAAACCTTACATTTGTCAGCGTTAAACTGCATCTCCCACTCTTGACATTCTCAAAGTCTCTTTGAATGGAAGGGTTATAATCCAAATATAACAGAGGTCCCAGGACAGAGCCTTGGGGCCTCACAGGCTGGTTCGAAACTTTTTTATGCCTTGAATAAGCCTGTGGGAAGCATACAAGGATTTCTCACTCTGGCTTAACTTCATTTATACCAACTTTTTATTTCCTTTGACACAACCATGTCCCAGTCCAACTTAAGATAGCACCCCCAATACCGAGAGCCTTTATCTTTCTAATCAGTCTTTCAACTATCAACTGCCTCAAAAATGAAATGGAACTGAATGAAAGAAAGGGAAATGGAAATGAACGAAAGCAATGGAAATGGAAATGAACGAAAGCAATGGAAGTGGAACTGAATGAAAGCAATGGAAATGGAAATGGAACTGAATGAAAGCAATGGAAATGGAAATGGAACTGAATGAAAGCAGTGGAAATGGAACTGAATGAAAGCAATGGAAATGGAACTGAATGAAAGCATTGGAAATGGAAATTGAACTGAAAGCAATGGAAATATAACTGAATGAAAGCAATGGAAATGGAACTGAATGAAAGCAATGGAAATGGAACTGAATGAAAGCAATGGAAATGGAACTGAATGAAAGCATTGGAAATGGAAATTGAACTGAATGAAAGCAATTGGTTTTCATGATGAAGACGAATGAATTTTGCGTTTATAGATTCAACCAATTTTCCCACAATAGACGTTAAGGTAATTGTTCGATAGTTCGACGTACGTATCGTCCTTTAAGAACTGGGTACCATATTAAGAACCCTCCACATCTCTGGTACTCTTTTCGATTCTAATGATTTTTTGGGTGTGCCATAGAAGGTCTCACTAAGCCCTTTATCGTCTCTAAGTTATGTAAGGCTCTATCTAAGGCTCTTTATCGTCTTTGGGCGCCGCATCTTATGCCTCGTCTGGTCCTGCAGGCTTGTTTGACGTTAATGTTTCTATTCGATTAATAACTTCTTCCAAGTAACCACTAAATTAGTAAACTGGTCCTCTACACAATCAATGTTGATTCGCTCAGCTGAAGTCAGAGTCTTAAGTTTTTATCTTTTAAATACTGAATCAAAATATTTATTATAGATACTGCTCATTTCTTTTCCATCATTAGTTACCTGCCATTATCAGTTTTTAATGTCATCGTTTTTTTCCATATTCCTTGTTTGTTAAAATTTAAAAAACTTTAAGATTTGTTTATGCTTGCCTGCTATATGTACTTCATGCTTTCATTTCGTTCTCTTACTTGTTTTTTAACATTTCTAATTATAATGACCAATTGTCAACTACTTCTATAAATATTCGCATGACTATTCTCTGTTGAGTTTGTATAGTAATTCGACTAATATAAAATTCACCCGTACGACAAACATTGTTTGACCTAGATGCTCTGGACAGTTAATCCCATACATGCGTTGCTTCCATTCTGTCATAGTTTGGTGGCCCGTATCTAACCCCATTATATTATTTTTCTTTATTGTTATTAAATTCTATCCAAAGGGTTTCTATGTATCATCACTATTGATCTATTTTTGTATTATTACATTTAAAATTTTCCTCTATGTATATTGGTTTTCCCTCCTCGTATGGTCTGTATATCCGTGTGAAATAATTTGAATAACTGAATTTGATCTTCATCTAATAGTTCCATGTTTTCTACTTTAACTCACGTTACAGTTTCTGCAATAATATCAAATATTTCTGAACATAGAAGATTATTTTAAGTTCCTGTGTTTGTAAGACTCCGACTGCTTGCGTAGTACACATTAACACACACACTTGTGCTCCCTCAACAGCTAGATATGGTCCTAACACCACTGTCGGCATCCACACCTGGGCGAGTCTCACCAACAGCTCCTCCGGCACCAACACAAGGTAAATCATAACATACAATCCGTATTGTTATCGTTAAACACTAATGGTACAGTCTCCTCCACCTTAGGATAAGTCATCAGTTAACACAGTTATCCATCACTGTCACCACCACTACCAGTAAGTCACCAGTTAACAGTTATCCACTTCTACTCCAAGATGGAGGAATAGCAATGTAGGTGCCTACACAGTAAGTCCCTCCAAACCTGTAGTCAATGCGTCACCTAAAGCTGTGCTCCTAAGACTACTACAGGATGGAGAAGCTGTTTGTTCTCTCAAGAAGAACACGCCATCTACCAATGCCAAACTTACCCTGATCATACATCGAAAGTAAAGCGTCTCAAGGAGCTGCATAGATGCACCAGATGCTTGAAGCAACATGATCCCAATACCTGTGCAACACCATTGCGCACATGTAACAGGTGCCATAAAGGCCAGCACAAGTCTGTATTGTGTGGAGTCACTAGACCAAAATCGACTAAACTTCAGGTGAAGCAAGAAACTTCCACCGCCGTGCAGTACTGGATAGTACGGCAGGAGGTTAATGTACTTACCAAAAAATCTGACAACAATGCCACATTACCTACTGCACAATTGCTGCCGTCGAATAAGAGAATCAAGATCACTGCACATGATCTCTTCGACTAAGGGTCACAGAAAACGTTCATCACCTAACAGTTATCTGATCAATTCAAACTCAAAACCCTACGTCAAGTTGAACATCTCAGGGTTCCTGACAAATACAGGGCCCCAAGATTACCTGGCAGTAAGAGTTATAGTATGTCCAGGAAGCTATGCCAGCCCAGTGCAGGCTATAGTAGTAGACAAAATCCATCTGACCTATATGTTTATGGTCTATTGAACACAGCCAAACTCCCTCTGAGTAATGGAGTTAAGTTGGCTGACTACAAAATCAAGTCTGACCACATCACCAATGTTTGAATACTCATAGATGCAGACTATTATTATATTTACATCACTGTATGTACCAAACAACAGGGAATGAACATGTTATTATGCACCTGCATGGGGGGGGGGGGCAGATTACTCACTGGACTGGTGTTGTATCAGAAGCAACCCAATGCCAGTGGACAATCAACAGTTCAATTCAGTAATGATTGTGTGACTAGGCCTAAAGCAGTCATCTCTCAAGTTTCGAGACATGCCTGAAGAGAACTCTGACACCCCTGTACACAAATTATGGGATCTAGATACCTTAGGCATCGTCCCTGAACAACCCAGTCCTGATGATACCTGGACCTACCAACAATCTCTAGATTCAGTTATCTATAAGAACAATCGGTACTGGGTCAGACTGCCATGGAAACTAAATCATCAACAACTACCTGTGAACCATTTCATGGCTCTGAGCCAATTATGCCTACACTGTCAATATAAGCAATGCATTCCTTAAAGTAGGTCTTCAATAGGTAGACCAAAATTTCACAATGTTCCTCTGGGTATGGGATCCTAATGATCCATATAGTAAAACTGTCACATACAGGTTTGCCTCAGTCTTGTTTGGGGCTACATCTTCTCCGTTTCTGCTTCAGGTAACATTGGATACGCATTTGAAGAAGTTCCATAGCCCTTACAAAACTGAGATTAACAATAATCTGTATGTGGGTAATTTCCAGGGGACCATCAGTGACAAATCTAAACTGATCGAAATATACAATGAGGCTAACTGCGAACTGTTAAAAGCCAATATGCCTCTCCAATCGTGGGCCTCCAATAACCTGCAATTGAATGTTAATGGAAAATGAATTCCCAGAATACAAAGTACCTCAAATTCTTAAGGTGCTTGGTGTGGAATAGGACACCACCTCTGATGAGTTAAATATCAAATCAGTGGATACACATGACACTGGTTTAACTATGAGGAAATTATTGTCTTTAGTCAGCAAACCATTTGACCCTTTGGGCTTGATAAGCCCTATCTTAATTAAGGCCAAACTCCTCATGCAGAGTGCTGGCAAAACAAATTGGATTGGGATGATCCGTTGCCCAATGACTTGCCGGAGAAGTGGCAACAGATGACAATGGATTTAAGTATCCTCAGTAACCTTAAATTCCCTCGCCATACTATAAGCCCTGACCAACCTATCGAATTGCAGGTGTTCTGCGATGCCTCAGGAAAGGCATATTGCGCTGTGGCATATCTATTGAGTAACGAGCATGCTACACTGCTGCGTCTAAGGCTAGAGTGGCAACGTTAAAGAAGCGGTCATTGCCAAAAATGAAACTGACATCTTTATTGGTAGGGGTTCGATTGGCTCATTACCTGACCAAGACGCTAGATAATGTTCACTTCTCTGAGATAGAAGTCTGGTCAGATAATGAGGCAGTCTTACAATGGGTAAGAAACAATCATAACAAAACTCCTTACATGATCAATCGTGAAGTAAGAGAGCAGGGTACAAACTTAGACATGTGCCCACAAAGGAAAATCCGGCTGACTACCTTTCTAGAGGATTGACGCTAAGGCAATTAGCTAAAACCGAAATGTGGTTCCATGGACCCTAGTAGCTAATCAGTGGCCAGTGGCCTAAACAGAAGCCACAAGTCATAGTGACCAATGCCACTGTTCCCACTGAGACACCAGAAACCACTCGAACTTTGGCCATTGATCCCAGTCGATATTCTAACTTAAGTAAACTACTAGGGATTACTCAAACAGTATTTGATTTTCTTAATAAAACAGGGGTCAGATACCAATTCCCAAGTTCACTAAAATATTGGGTCAAACGAGCCCAAACTAAAACTTATGGGAGAAAATATGAAAACCTCCCTGATAAAGTAGTGAAATCTTTAGGTCTTTAGTTTGACACAGACAATCATAATATAATCAGATGTGGAGGACGTTTACAACATGCAAATATAGACCTGGATGTAAAGAATCGCATACTGCTTTCATCACTAAATTAATAGTACTACATTATCATGAATAGGGCATTTTACATGGTGGAGTGTTAGACAATAATTTCTTGATTTATTTCAGGACTCTTTCTCTTTTTTGTTTGCCTCATACAACATATGCCAAACCCTTTCTGAGGTAATAACGTTCCAGATTTATACTAATGTCCGGGGCGGACATTATCGATCAGATCTTGGTAAGGGAGAAGCTCACAACTTTGTGTGTCAAAAGAACTAAGATTCTGAGATGGAAAACAATAATTGAAACCCATATAAAAGTCCCAGACGATGACTTCCTCGACTATCTTCAGGGAGACTATTATAAAATGAGGGAAGAATTCCAAACCAAAGAACCTATAGTGAGTTAATAAGAGATGAAGGCATGGAAGCATCATGGGGAGACTTTACGAAGGTCTTCAATGAATTTACATATATCTTGCCATTATTATTTCATAAAAAGATAAATTATCATTATTAGATTATACATAACAGTCATCAATTATGAGAATTTTTCTGAAAATGAGATAAAAACCCACAATAATTTGTATGACTATAATTACGTTCATTAGAGTTTTGGACGTGTTTTTTTCAAGACTACCATAAAACATTAATAATATTTAATTGAAACTTCGAAAAAAATTCATTTTAAAGAAACTTATTTAAAAAGAAAAGACTTATAATAAATTTAAAGTTTAATTTATGTAAAATTCTGTTTATCAAAGGGAATATATTGAATATTGTGTAACGGTTTGTTCCATATTATCTGTAGTTTTAACTCCTGACTGAAAAGAAACAAAACTTTTAAAATAAATAATAATAATTTGCAGATTTTAATGATTGCATTTTTGGACTATATGTAACAACTTAGTTGTTTATTTGTATTAATATATT